AGATGGCAGTGACAGGCTGTAAGCTAGGGGAGGGCTAGAGCACAGGAAAGGTCAGAAGGGGAAGGAATCCAGGAATTAAGTGTAGAGTCAGGAATCAAAGAGGAAGCTTGGGACGTGTTGGCAGTAACAGAAGGCTAGGCTCACTGAACTGGCAGCTGAAATAGCTTGCTATTCTAGCTTCTAAAGAGGTCCCACAGCAGCTGCTCAGGGAGCCTGATCTGAAACTTGCAAGGGTCTAACTGAAAACAACCGGCTAGGTAGCCAGGCTGAATAATAATAGCCGCTTCCATTTTAGTGGCATTTTACAATCGCCACAGTACTTTGCTCATCATGACCCTGTGAGGGAGATAGTGTGGGGATCTCTGAGGCATTGAGAGGTGAAGTAGCTTTACGTGATCACACAGTGGTAAAAGCTAAGACTTGAACTGAGGGGTCCTGACTCCAAGCCCACTACACATAACTGTCCTCTCCTGGGGATAAGGCACAGAGAGGGAAGTTCTTGAAAACTGGAGTTAGAGAGGAAGCTCCAGAGGTCATCTAGTCCAACTCCCTGTCTCTAGACCTTCCCAAATACCTGGATCCCTTTCCTCTACTCATCTACATGGAAGTCTTGATTCTCTTTAATGTCCTCACACATGGATACCTGCCAGTCTGTTGGATTCTCAGCCCTACCTGTCCATCCGTCTTTGTCAGTCAACCACATTGTGTTCATTGTATGCCTAGAACTAAGACTTGAACAACATAGATTCCCTTTCTCCCCTCTGCTGCCACCTGCAGACCCATCATCCTCTCCAAGACCCACCATCAAAGCCTCAGCAACCTCTGTTTTCTTGGGAGAAAATTTCAATGTGACCTGCACTGCTCTGGGAGAACCTGAGATCACTGTGGACTTCACTTGCGGGTATCCAGGGCAGCTGGTAAGTGGAAGAATGCAAAGGGGCAATACTCAGAAGTCAGGGAAGACAGGGAAGCCTGGGTGGAAGCTTTGTGGCATTCAACATGGTGATGAAGATGGAGTAGGCAGTATGAGATCTGAGCAAGGAGGTCAAGAGACGCAGCAGGGGTTTGCTAGGGGACATGGATTACAGCTGCTAATTCACAGCATGATCTTCTCTACACTGAACCCCAGTTTCCTCATCTGGGAAATGGGGATAATATTGCCTGCCCTAGCTATCTCAGAGGGGTGCTCTGAGGAAGAAATTAGCTATTCAACAAGTGTTTACTGAACACCTGTTATGTACTTATAGCATGGGGGAAAATACACTCTCTGTCCTCATAAGAGAGGAGGAGAGAGGGAGAGAGGTTACTCTCTCCAGCAGAAGAAATATAGCTAACATACATAAGCAAGAGGAGGGGAGGGGGAAAGAGAAAGACGTGAGGAGAGAGAAGCTAACTTGTTAGCTGAGGAAATATATCTAACACCCATAAGAGAGAATGGGAGGGGAAAGGAAAAGAGGAGAGAGGGAGAGAAGCTTACTTTCTAGCTAAGGAAACAGAGCTAACACATGTAAGAGAAAGGAAGAGAGGGGGATGGGAGAGAGGGAGAAAAGGGGAAAAAGGAAAGTGGGGAGAGAGGGGAGGGATAAAGAGAGGTAGAAGGTAGCGAGAAAAGTGGCAGGATGGAGCAAAGGGGATGGAGGGAAAGAAAAGGAGGACAGAGGGGGACAGGGACAAGGAGAGTAACCTAGTGTTACTAACTAGGAATGTTATCGGTAATCAGAAAGAGGGAGAAGAGATATCAGAGTAGACTGGAGAGTTCAGGGAGAGTTGCCTAGAGAGGGAAGGGCTTAATCTGGGTCTGGAAAAGATTTGGACAAGCAAAGGAGAAATAAATCAGGCAACCTGAGCAAAGGCAGGAAGGTGGCAATAAGCCATAAGAGAGTTATGTGGAAGACACCGAAGAGATGACTCAAATAGAAGAACCATGTAGGGAGAATACTGGGGGCAAGTTTGGAAACCTGGGGTGGAGCCTGAGGTATGATGGAGAACCTCATATTCCAGGCTGAGGAGTTTGTATTCTATCCTGTGGGCAATGAGGAGTCGATGGAGATTTTTGAACAGAGAAGGGATGTGTTCAGATCTAAGCATTATGGACCAGAGGCTAAGAGGCCAGAAAACTAGTTAGGAGACCATTGACCTTCAAAGACGAGACCAGCTATGAAAAGCACAAACTGGAAAGCAGATGAAAAAAATGGGATTACTACTCTGATTCTAGCTATAGAAGCAGCATGATGCAGGACTTAAAGTCAGGAAGACCTGGGTTCCAATTTCTACCTCCAGACCCATTTCTTCCCATTCTTCCCTTGTCCCCTGTTGACTCCTCCTACTCAAACTTAAGAGAGGCTCAGCATATTTGCAAAGTTTTGATTTTCATTGTTGTTCAAATGTTTCAGTCGTGTCTGACATTTCATGATTCTATTTGGAGTTTTCTTGGCAAGAGTGGTTTGCCATTTCCTTCTCCAGCCCATTTTACAGATGAGGAAATGGAGGCAAACAGGGTTAAGTGACTTGCCCAGGGTTACACAGCTACTAAGTGTCTGAGGCTAGATTTGAACTCAGGTCTTCCTGACCAGACCCTGAGTTCTATCCACTCTACCACCTAGGTTTCACTAGTAGAGCCTTCAACTTTGACCAGAACGTTCATATCCTTAATCTCAAAATAGCCCTCTAGAAGTAGGGATGATATTAAAATTTTTAAACCTCCATTTCCCAAGGTTGCATGGTCAGGTACCAACAGAACCAGGACCAGGACAAGGACTAGAAATCAAGGATCCAGTGTGACATTAAGGATGTCAGAAGGCCCCTGGAGATGAAAGGGCTAGAGCTAAAGGCAGCTGTTGGGGATGGTGTTGGAGGTGTGAAGGGTTTTGTTTTTTGTTTTTTGTGAGGCAATTGGGGTTAAGTGACTTGCCCAGGGTCACACAGCTAGTAAGTGTCAAGTGTCTGAGGCTGGACTTGAACTCAGGTCCTCCGGATTCTAGGGCCAGTGCTCTATCCACTGCACCACCTAGCTGCCCCAGGAAGAGTTTTTGACTGATGCTATTCTATACCCTCTCCCCTGCCACAGGAGGGTCGGCCACCCTTGGTCAGTGAATGCTCTACTGTGGTGTGCAGAGCTGGTCAGGTACAGCAAGAACGGGAGAGTGTCTTCTATGCAGAGGAGGCCCGAGCCAAGGACCAAGGCATCTATACCTGCTGAGCCACAAACCTTCAGGGGACCTCGACAGCCAGCACCCGAATTCGAATTCTCCAGCCCTCACAGATTCTGGTTTCAGCAGACAAGGCTGGTGACCATTAAACTCCCTATTTCACTGAATGGCCCTGACCTCAGGGCACCTGGAGAGTGAGAGATATATACCAATGTAGGCCGCCACATTCAACTACTCCTGTATTCAGAGGATGGATTGCCTTTCCTCCCATAGTGTGGTCTCCAATTTCCTTTCCCCTAAGCTTGCTGTAGGTAATCTTTACTCTAGCCACTAGACCCAGTCTCCAACCCCCAGTCCCTCCAAACCCTGCCTCAGTCCCTAAGTCCCAGCCCCCAACCTCCTCTTCTAACTGGGACCATCAATTCTCCTCCCCCTCCATTAGTGCTCCCAGGCTGGCAAATATCCAATCCCCTCAAGGCCTCAACAAATCTTGTGGGAATGAAGCTCAGGAGCTGAGCCCTCACCATTCAACCTGACCCTGTAGTAGTTGGCTACCCTCATTCTACTCCTGCCCACCCCACCCCCAAGATAAAGATGGAGGCCAAATAAAGATGCTGCACAATCTTTCTTATTTCAAAAATTTTTATTTGTTTTTTTTTCAAAACCTTTCATCAGTGGCTCACTGTAGCCTGTCCTACACGCACTGATTCGCCTGCATGCATAACACACCTTTCACACACACATACACACACCATTCATACACATGAGAGTACTACCTGAAGGGAAGTGCAGGATTCATATCAAGATCTGGGGCCATGGTTCACAACCGTGGCCCCTTTCCAAGGTATTCCCCTTGCAAAGTGCTTGAGTGTTCTCATCTTCCCTCTAGGACCCAGATATAGTCTGGGTAACACTGTAGGTCCATAGAGGAGTGGATTGCAGAATTATAGACCTCCAAGGAGGTTAGATGTGGAAGGGTCCCGAGAGGTCATCTAGTCAAAGGATTATATAAAATCACAGAATTTGAGCTAAAAGGGACCTTAGAGATCTAGTCCAATCCCTTCCTTTTAGAGATAGGGAAAATGAGCCCCAAGGGGCCAATGTAGTCAAAGAGCACTGAGAGGCAGGAGACTTGGGTTCTATTTCCCAACACAGCCACTCACTCCCTGTTCAACATTGGGCAGGCCCTTTCCTGTTCTTGAGCCCCCTCCACCTTTAGCTCTGATTTTGTCTGCCCAAAGTCACATAGTGAGTGAATGGCAGAGAGAGTGCTAGATGCTCTCAACTTTATAGACTTGGAAAGGCAGGCAAGTCAAAAAGGAAGAGGAGGAGGGAAGAAGAGGAGCACCAGGAGAGTAGGTCCCAGTTTTCCTCAGCTTTGAAAGAAAAGAAATCTCCAGCTGCCAAGAAAGTGCTAACCTGCAAGAGACAGCCTGGTGTTTCATCTTTCCCAGTAACTGAGCCCTGATTGGAGCATGGAGAAAGCAGGAGCCCAGGCTACAGTAGGAGGCCCAGGAAGGGGCAAGGTAGAAGTAGGGGAGGGGGTGGGCCAGCAAAGAGGTTGTGTCTCCTTTACTTTCTCTCACACCTGTGGCCCCAGTCTTGCTTTTTGGACCTGTATCAATTCAGCTGAGGAGGATTAAGGAAGGGTAGTTGGATGACTGAAGATCAAGGAGCTTGGCAGGAGGATTTCCCTAATCCAGGGGGTTCTGCATCATTTTTGGGTATCCAGACAAAGAGAAATCATCTATGAGCGGGAGGGTAGTACACTGCCTCAGTATCACCCCTAAATGGCTGGGAAAGAGAAGTTGAGGTGGAGGACGTGGTGTCAATATATGCTGGGTATGACCAGACCCTCGGGGCTACAAGCCAATAATGGGGACTGCTGAGGACCCTGCCCCATGGGGAGGGAAGGAACAACAGTGCCCTGAGCCCTAAACAATGGCCTTGCTCTATAATGGGTCTAGCCTCTGAGATTCAGGAGGCCAGTTCACCCTACTACCTTCCTTCATTTTGTTCCTCTGTTTCCCCCGGGGGAAGGGGAACTTTGACAGGAGAAAGAAGACAGGGCACACCTGCTTCTGAGGGCAAAGAGCAAAGACAATAGGTGGCCTTTAACCTCCAAGGATCAGAAAAAAAGACCCAGCCCCCTCCTCACCCTGAACTTGTAGATGCCACAAGGAGAACAGTGAACGCACATCCTCTGTCTAAGCCTTTTGCTTTACCGAGTAGAAACCTGAGACTAAGAGAAGGGCAGCCACCTGCTTTCAGTCTGGGGCTGAGCCAGGACAGGAACCCAGGAGTCAGCTCAGCACGCTTTCCCTACACAAGCTGCCTCTAAAGAAAAGCTCCCCATCCTGCCTCCTACTGTCCATCAGGAAAGGTTGAGTCTGGCTTCGGGGGAAATCCCTGGGCTGCCTGTAATGGCAGAGAACAGCCCATGGCAGCAGCTAGCAGAGCCAATGGCCTGGAGAAGGGAGGTCTTCCTGATTATTCCCTTTCTTCTGCCCACTGGCCCTCCTTCAACATCCTCACAGCTGGAGTTCTCAGGCTATGTGGCAAGGTAGGACACTTTAGCAGAAGTCAGTGGAAAGGCTGCTGGGGAATCGCTGGTGACAAGCCGATATAACAGCTCTTCTTTCTCCTGTTGGATCTGTTGACGAAGCTGTGACTCTTTCTCCAGGGCCTCACGGACAAGAAAAAGGTCCTCTGAAAGCTGCCTGTAGGACACAGACCCCAGGGTCAAACATTGGGATCTGTGTCCTGCTGCAAGTTGCCCTGTTTGAATAGTGGAAGCTGGCCGTCACCTTTGGGTAAAGGCAACCCAGGACACAGGAAAAGGACTCTTAACTCTCTCAGCCAATCCCTCATTTCCTTGCCCCCACCCCCCCACCCATTAAAAAAATCACCTCAATTTCCTGACTGAACAACTTATAGTATGTGAATGTGACAGAATACTATTGTGATGTGAGAAATAATGGAGGGCATGATTTCAGAAAAACCTGGGAAAACCTATATGAACTGATGTAAATGAGCAGAACTAGGAGAACAATCTATTTAGTAACACCAGTATTGTAAGGATAATCCATTGTGGAATATTTAGTAACTCTGATCAACACAATTCCAAAGGACTCATGATGAAAAATGCTATTCACCTCCAGATAGAGATTTAAGGATATTTTTTTCTTCTTTCTTCCTTTTTTTCTTTTTTAATATGACAAATCTGGAAATTTGTTTGTGTGATACATACAAATGGGCTTGCCTTCTCAAAAGATGGGGGAGGGGAGGGGAAGAAAGCATTTGGAACTGAAAAAAACAAAACAATACAAGCTTCTTTGCTTTAAGCAAAACAAACAAAAAACAAAAACTACCTCAATTTCTAAAGTCCTCTTCTCCAAGGAAACCTTCCCTAATTGACCCTGTCTACTCCAATGATGTTTCAGCATGGAGCTATGTAGTTTATGTACTTCTTTGTAGGGTGTTCTTAGAGCTTTCTTACCAATGTCCTCTAAAACACATTTATATACCTTCTCCTTCCTCTGGATTCTGTCCACCTTCCCCCTTAACACCGTCCCCCACCCCCACCCCACACCCTGCCAGTGTCCAGGATAAAGTTCCGCTCACTCACAGACTCATAGAATGTCAGAGGTGAAGGGGCCTTAGAAATTATCTAATTTAACCCCCGACACTTTTAGAAATGGGAAAAACTGGACCCTAGGCGGGGAGATGACTTGTCTAGGATCTAGGGTCACACATAGAGTCTTTGGCAAAGCCAGGATCAAGAAGACAAGTCCATAGCACTGAATGGCAAAGCACAGGTGGGCTGAGAAAGGTGAGATGCTCCATTGTGAGGCTTAGCCACTGGAAATGCCTCCTTGACCACATCACCCCATTTGCATGACTCTCACTCCTATGAAGTTGTTGCTTAGAAAGGGAAGATGAGAATTCAGAGGTAGGGATGTGGTTACCTTGACACCCGTTGGTGGTTCCATCCCCGAACCTGAAGATCCTCATTCTCCTGCTGCAGTACTGTAATTTTCTCTTCTAATGACAGGTTCTTCTCTTTCTGTAAAACATCAGAAAGAAAGGGAACAAACACCAAATGAGGTCCAATGATGGTCAATTAAAAACATGTCTAAACACAGACAACCAGCTCTCTGTTATCTGTAATAATGGCCAAAGGAGTGGCAAGAAATCAGATGATTTTCCAAAATTCGTCTGAGGCAAAACAAGTTCGACCTCTGTCCCACCAAACCTCTCACTAAAGTAGCTAGCAGATATAGAGTTGTTTACCTAGAATCACCAAAGCATGGAATGCTAAACTCTCAGAGATAGAAGGACTTCATGGAAAAATACAGTCTGATCTCTATTTGAACAGGAAGCCTTTTTTTTTTTTTTAATTTTTTTTTTTAGCATTCCCTCCCTTCAATTCCCTGAATCACCTTGGTATGGAAAGACAAGGTGCTTTTGTTCTGGTCTCACCCAGAGACAGGGTTTCCCTATAACCCTCTAGTTTCCTTCTGGCTATGCGGGTAGAGTAAAACCATGCCTAGCCTTGGGGTCAGAAGGCCAGAATTCCATTCTTGGCTTGGCTACTAACTTATTACATGACTTTTGGAAGTCATTTCTCTTCTGTGGTGTCAATTTTCTAATCTGTATAAAAAGGATCCTGGAGTACATGATCTGGAAGATCCCTTCCAATCCTCAAAGTCTGTGAGCTCTTTCAGAGTGAAAAGCCCCTGTGGCAGAGGGACAGGATGAGGAGATAGGGGTATGGTAAGTTATGTAAGGAAAGGGAAGACTAAAGACCTAACAGAGAATCCTTGACCTACCACTGTTTCCATTTGGATCAGTCTCCTATCCAGTTCATGGATACGTTCATTCTTCATTTCGATGACAAAGTGCAAGCTCTCCAGCTCCTGCTCCCAAAATTGACTGGGGCTCCCATAGTCCTAGACAGAGAAGCACAGATAAAGTCCATTCACATGTCCCTTCATTGGCCAGGACTGGGACTTGTCACTATGCTCTTGGGCAAATTAATTTAACCTTTCTAGACCTTGATTTCCTCCTCAATAAAATTGGGAGATTAAGTCCTCCACGTCTTGCTTACAGAGGTGTTTGAGGGAATCTTCAATAATGTTGGGTCCCTCCTTCACCCATCAATGAGTGACATATTGGGCCTGCCTTGGACATCTGTGACCTCCTTCTACATATCCCTGAATCACAGAATATCTGAATCAAAGACTCTCAAGAGTTAGAATGAGCCATATCTAGTCCAATCCCTACCTGAGCAAGAATCAGTCCTTTCTACAACATCTCTGAGAAGTTCAACCATCCACATTCCTCTCTTTGAAGACCTCCAGGGAAGGAGGAATTCAATACCCTCCAGGACAGCCCATTCCACTTTAGGGCGAATATGATTAAGATTTTTTATTATTATTAATGGATTTTATGTTTTGAAATATAAATATATATAATTTGTATATTATTAACTTTGAGTATATATTATGAATATGTAGCAGGTTAAATAAAACTATGATTGAATTGTTATTCCTAATTATGATTACAAAGCATTTCATAATTCTTGAGCCAAAATCTGCCTCTCTGCCACTTCTACTCAGTATTCCCAGTTCCCAAGCTAGCATGTCTTCCCCCAGGTATTCCCTTTCCCAGACTAAACATTCTCAATTCCTTCAACCGATCCTTGCATGACATGTTTTTAAGTTCTCTCACTGTTATGGTTGTCCTATAGCTAGTTAACATTCCTCCTAAAATGTGGTACCCAGTACTGGACACCACTCTCTAGCTCTAAGCTGTGGCTATGATGAGGGTAAAGGGTGGGAGAAATGATCACTTCTCTTGTCCTGGACATCTTTGGATTTTCTAAAGACCCAGATACATCAAGGATTAAGGCCACTGTATTCAAAGGGTCCTACCTGGATATGTTTCTTATAATCTCTGCTCAGGATAGATTCCTCTACTCTTTTCATCTTGGCTTGGAAGACCTCCATCTGAGAAGTTAGTCCATCTATGGTCTCCTGGAGGGTGGGAAAAGAAATGGGTTTTAAAGAAGGAAGCCAAGAAGAAATGTGATTGGAGGCTACACAGTGGTCAGTGGATGGATGGGGAGAGGGGTGTCTTCTCCCTTCTTTCAGTTTTTTCCTTTGCAGTTCATCCTTCATAGGCTGCTAAATTCAGCTTTGTAAAGTGGACTTCTGGCCCCTTCATTCTCCTGCTCAAAGACTTTACACAGTTCCCCACAGACTACAGAATAAAGTCCAAACTCTTCAACCCAGAATTTGCTGTCCTGACTTTCCTCTTTAATCTCTTCTGCAAGAACCCTACATTTTAACCTTTTCTCCCAACTACATTATACATTTAATTCTATTCCTTGATCATCTATCTTTTCCCTAGAATTTCCTTCCCACTTCTCCCTACCCATCCTTTAAACCCCAGTTCAGCTCCTGCCCCTTACAGAAAGCCTTCCCTGATGACTCCAGCCCTCAGTGACCTCCTCTTTCCCCAGATCCTTTAGCACAAACATTCAGTCTAATTAAGTTCTGGACTGCGTGGCATGGAGTATTGCATTGTTCCCTAAGAGTTGTGTTTGTTTTTTCTCCCTAGTTGATTCCTTGACGGAGAGGCAATGCAGGAGTACTGATTAGAACAATGGATTTAGGGTTAATTCCAGCCTTAACTCTGCAACTTTGACCACTTCAATCCAATCGAACAGACATTTTTCAAATGGATGCCCTCAATCTGCCAGGCATTATGCTAGGTGTTGGAGATGAAAAAGATAAAAATGAAACCCTTCTTCTCCCCATTACATTTATATTCTACTGGGGAAAAGCAAAATATACACAGATGAGCAAATGCAAGGTGATTTGAGGAGGGAGAGAGAAGTACAATACATTTCTAAACAGTTATGCAGGTAAACTCTTAAAAATTTTTAGGTCTACAAAAGTTTCATCAGTTCTTAAAATTCAGTTTTGCCCAACAACACTTTATAATAATATTCGATCTAGATCTGTTGTTCAACAATTCGACAAACGTTTGTTCTCAATGTCCATACCTGTGAACTGGTAACAATGATTATCAAGCATCCTCACCCATATGCCTTGACTTTAAGGCATGCTGGGATTGAGATGTGTCAAGCAGTCTTCCAATTTCAAAATTGTAGAAGTTTCCTAAGGGCATAGATCTTTTATGATCTTCAGGGGACTTTGGGAGGTCTTAGTTTAACCCCAGTCACCATTAAGAATAATGGTGGAATACCTGGGGAGTAACAGATCTATATTATTTTTTTCTTCTTTTTCTCTTTAAAAATTTATTTATTTTGAACTTAAATATAAAAAGACAAAAATAAACTTCAATGTATATAGCACAATATGAAAAGAAGATTCAATATAAAACCATGAATTTCCATTTTATATTGTTTACTTAAAAAAAACCCAACTATGTAATAAATACTATATGTCATTTTCAAAGCTATCCTGCTTTTCCATGTTTCCGTCTAAGTTTTCTTTTGTTCTCTACTATGCATTTTTAATTTTTTCCTCTATGGATTTTGTTGTTATTTTTCTAGCTCAGTGAAACTTTTTTTTGGTAACTTAATTGGGATGGCGTTAAACAATAGATTAATTTAGGTAAAATGGTCATTTTTATTATATTGGCTCTGCCTACCTATGAACAATTAATATTTCTCCAGTTATTTAAATCTGACTTTATTTGTATAAAAAGTGTTTTATAATTATATCCATGTAGTTCCTGGGTTTGTTTTGTTAAGTATATTCCCAGATATTTTATACTGACTATGATTATTTTAAATGAGATATCTCTTACTATCTCTTCTTGCAGGGTTTCATTGGTGATATATAGAATTGCTGGTGATTTATGTGAGTGTATTTTATATCCTGCTACTTTGCAAAAATTATTGTTTCCACTAACTTTTTAGTTGAATCTTTACTATTTTCCACATACATCATCCTATTGTCTCTCTGCATTATTTTGTAACCCATAGATGGGTTAGGTTTCTCTGGTCATTTCCAGTTTACTCCATATAAACTGGATCCAAAGAATTTAAGTATCTGTTTTTAGCAAGGAATTAAAGTTTTTTTTTCCAGCAATTTCAGTTAAAATGGAAATTGCTCCCAAATTTAAATTATGACAAAAAATAAAAAGTCAGTAATACGAGCTCTGAATTCATTTCTCTAAGTCTCAGTTTTCTCATTTGTGAATAACTCTATGACCTCATTAATGCAGGTAAACTCTCCAGTAACGCAGATTGTAGCCCATCTATATCTTCTTTACTATGCCCTCTATAAGTCCTTCATTGGGAGTCCATGTAGCTTATTAGGAGGCTTCCTCTAAGTCTCCTGACATTAAGTATTAATGTCACACATGGACTACCTGTCCAAAATTACCATATTCCTAGCCCATCTCCTCCATTTCTGGTGCTATATCTTCCATGATTTCTCATGTCCATTTTTTTGCATGCAATTCAATGTTGGTTAATATGCTACTGTGTATTTGCCCCCTCATTATTTGTCTTTCCATTTTCCTCTGGTGACCCACTATTCTGATTTCCAGTGATTGTGGTATTCTATGATTTACAGCACATAACATCACCGGAGGAATGTTACTGTTAAAAAGATGAGTTTCTATTTCAGGTAGAAATTTGTCTGTCTGACAAGGGGTCACTGAGAGCGCTAAGAAATCTCCCAAATGCAATCCAGCTGGTTCTCCTTCTCTTCAGTTTATTGTCATCTGTAGCATCTGTTCAAGACATATGAACTTATGGACCACCTCTATGGACTGTCCCTCCAACAACATAACATGTTCTAGAGACAATATGCAGTCTTCACTCTCTTGACTTTTCCTTTATATATCATTAAGTCAAATTCCTTTGAGTGGTGGGATAGATTTTTATTTAGTAGGCTGTATAATATTCTGGGGCTTGTTTCAATCAGTTCAATGCTATCCATAAACAGAGGAACTCATCCTCTATAGGGAATCTTTCTTCCATTTAGACTAGGTCACATTCTATGTGACAGTGGCAACCAACTTAGGTAAGCGTGCATATCACTGTTTCAGGCCTCTCTTCGGAAATGACCATCAGTGTCATAGAGCAAAGTTATTTCTCTTGTTGAGCATTCTGAAGAATCTCTTATGATCTTGGCATATACTTTTTGGAGGACAGTGGTACTTTGTACTACCACATCAAATGCTTTTCTGTAGTCAAAGAACTGTAACAGTGGAATTTTGTATTTTCTGCACCTTTCTACCAATTGTATGAGTATAAAGATGTGCAAACGGCTGCCTGTTCCCTCTTCATATTGTCATTAAGAATAGCCTTGATACAAAGACATAGAAGATAGATGCCTTTTGTTCATTCGTTTCAATTGTGTCTGACTCTTTATGACCCCACCTGAGGTTTTCTTGGCAAAGGTACTAGAGCGGTTTGTCATCTCCTTCTCCAGCTCATTTTGCACATGAGCAAACTATAGTGAATTGCCCGGGGTCACAAAGCTAGTAAGTGTCTGAAGCCACATTTGAATTCAGGTCTTCCCAACTTCCAGGCCTGGTGCTCTATCCACTGCACTACCACCTAGCTGCCTGGATAGATGTATAAATACACAGAAACATATATTTATACATGCACACAATTATATATGTATAGCTGAACTTAAATATATGTGTGTATGCATATATATGTTTTATATATAGTATGTATATTTATATGTATATATACATATATATTTACACACACACACATACACATATACACATCAGCACTTGTGGTAGCAAAGAATTGGAAACTAAGTAGGTGGCCATCAGCTGGGGAATGGCCAATGAAATTATAGCATTTGAATGCAATGAAATATTATTATGCCGTAGAAAATCATGAAGACAAAAAATGCAGAGAAACTAGGGCAGATCTGCATGCTGTGATCTAAAACAAAGTGAACAAAACCAAGATGATAATTTATACACTGACCACATCAAAGTGAAGGAGCACAATATGGAAACACAACAGAATTTTAACTCGCGTGGTGGCCATCTAAAGCTTCCATGTCCTAAACATGAAGCATATCTTCCTCTTTGTTGTGTCATGTAAATCCATCCCTCAGTGACCTAGAAAATGTCATGCTAGACCTTATCTATGTTTACTTAGTCTGTTCCAAGCATTCTTCCTAACTTTATTTTCTTTAAAGTCATTTCTACTGCTTCATGCTAGACATCATGTAGTTATTAAGGCTTCCCTACCTTTTATGGAATAGATAGTTTGCAGTAGAAACCTTGACAGATCTGTACCATTTATGCTCTATTTGCTGTCCTTCAAATTTCATCCTGTAATGCCCTCAGGTTAACAAGTTTTCTACAAACTCATTTTCTTCCCACCATTTTTTGCTGTTTTATTGGATAATTGTTTTGATAATCTTCCCTGAGCCTCTTCCAATCTGTTTCACAAATGAGTAAAAAGAACAGTATTTGAAACCAATACTATCCTTTGCTATTAGCTCTCTTCACTTGACAAAGAAATCAGTATTTGCCAAGTGTGGCTCTTTTGGCCTCATTGCTTTACAATGGTTCAGGAACTTCTGGAAGAAACGGTGAGAGTTAAAACAACTAATGAAACAGGCCATTTCACATTTTGGTGAGCATCAAGAGTTTATTTAAGGGGCAGCTAGGTGGCTCAGTGGTTAGAGCACTGGCCCTGGATTCAGGAGGACCTGAGGTCAAATCTAGTCTCAGACACATAACACTAGCTGTGTGACCCTGGGCAAGTCACTTAACCCCACTGCCTAACCAAAAAAAAAAAAAAAGAAAAAGAAAAGAGTTTATTTAAATGGGTCATGTTGGACCTGTCTTAACGTGCTCTATTTTTTCATTTTTATTCTTCTTATCTCTCTAATTGGAATAATGCTTACAAAGCTTACCTCACATGGATATTGTAAAGAAAATTCATGAAACTTTAATTCAATTATTATTGTCATTATTGTTAAAATTTTGATAAATTTGTGATCTCAACCATGTG